ATCTCGGCTCACTGCAAGCTCCGCCTCCCGGGTTCCTGCCATTCTCCTGCCTCAGCTTCTCAAGTAGCTGGGACTACAGACGCCCGCCACTGCGCCCGGCTAATTTTTTGTATTTTTAGTAGAGACGGGGTTTCACCGTGGTCTCGATCTCCTGACCTCGTGATCCGCCCACCTCGGCCTCCCAGAGTGCTGGGATTACAGGCGTGAGCCACCGCGCCCGGCCTATCTTGCTTTTTTAAAACTACTTATAATGGCTGCTTTAGACCTTTATCTTCTGAATACAACTTTGGGTCTACTCAGTGTCAGTTTTTAGTAACTTTCTTTTCTTCTTCTTTTTTTTTTTTTTTTTTTAACATAGGTCATATTTTTCTGTGTCTTTGGACATCTAGTGACTTTTGGGCAGGACGTTCTTGATGATGGCAGCCCTGCATCTACTGTCACCTTCTAAACTGACTGTTGTTCTGGGATGAATTGTGCCTTCCCAAAATTCCTGCGATGAAGCCCTGGATCCCACGGTCACTGTTTCAGGAGACGGGACTCTTAGGAGGCGATCGAGATTAAGTGAGGTCAAAGGGTGTGGCCCTAAGTTAACAGGGCTGGTGTCCTTATTAGGGGAGAAAGAGGCACCCAGAGAGCACTCCCCCCGCCAGGGGAGGACGCAGCGAGGAGCTGCCTTCTGCAAATGGGCAGGAAGCCCTCACCAGAAACTGCATTTTCCAGCACCTTAATCTTGGACTTCCACCCTCCAGAACGGTGAGGAAATACTCTTCTGTTGTTTAAGATGCCGATCTGAGGTGTTTTGTTACAGGAGCCTGAGCAGACAGCGAGAGTGACAGCCCCTCCAGCAGGAAATCCAAGTACAGGCTAAGCTCGTTGAACCTGTGGGCCTCAGCCCGGCACAGCTGCGCAAAGTCACGGCTGTTTCCCAGGAGCCCCTAACGTGTCAGAATGCAGCCTCTACATGTCCCTCCTGTGGCTGTCGGGGGCCACGATTCTGGACTTGAGGCGCATCTAGGGTGCAGTCCTTGTTCCTAGAAGGGCCTTTCTGGTGTCCCAGTCCAGGCTGGGGGCTGCCAAGGTCCCCCCACTTGGGCGGTTCCCCCCACAGCCCCCAGCACCACTCAACCTCAGGTATCACTTTCCGCCGCCCTGAGGCAGCCACCCTCGTAAGCCCTGGGTTGTCTCACCTGCGTATATGGGGGACCAGTTGATCCCCAGGGGCCTGGGCGTAGAACCTCCAGGCTGACACCTGCCACTTTCCTCGCCCTTCCCATGTCCTAGTTCAGGCGGGAAGAGAAAGTGATGCCGTCGGCTGGCGGCAGCCCAAGCCACGGGGTGAGAGCCCACCGTGGAACCGGACACTGAGCAGGGCTGGGCAGCTGGGGATCCAGGGAGGCCGGAAGCAAGACCCATCAGGTAGGGCCTTGGGCACGGGCCATGAGCCTGGAGCCCTGGGCAGTGGGGAGCCATGGAGGATGCAGGCAGGAGGGGTGTGGCCTCCATGCATTTGAGACACCTGCTGAGACTCCACCAGGAGCCCTGTTTCTGTCTCTGGTCTGCACCCTGGGGCAGCCTGACCATGACCCTGGCAGGGCGGGAGGGCAGGGCTGCTGCCTTGTACGTGAGCCATGCTGCCTTGTCCAGTAGCCACAGAAAACACACCTCCTATTGCCAGACCTGGGGCAGGCACGTCCCCCGACACCTGTCACCCACTGGCTCTCAGGAAAGACACACCAGGCAGCGGCTAGACATCACAGTTTATTCAGAGCAGGTGCAGGTGACCCGGTGGGCAGGGTGCCCAGGAGGGGCCGGGATGGGCGGGGGCTCTGAGCCTCGTGGTCTGAGGCAGAAACTCCATTAAATCAGCTCCTGTGACACAAAAGTGTGGGGGCTCAGGCCCGTGTGGTCTCTGGAGGCCCCATGGGGCAGCGATGAGGGCCACGTGTCGGGGGCTTCTGTCCTAGCTGCCTGGCTTTGGGCAAAGCACTCAGCTCCCTGAGTGCCTTCTCAATCTGCAAAGTGGGGTGACAGTCCCAACCTCTAGGGCCAAGACAAAGCGAGGTGGGGGAGACTCTGGGTTCTTGCAGTGCCCGACAGAGGACCCTGAGGCAGTCCCCGCAGGACCTGTGCCCGCCCCCGACAGGACCTTCAGGGACAGGAGCAGCCAGCAGTCGTGCACGGAACACCGAAGAAAAGGCGCCATTTCTGCTCGCCTGCCCAACCCAGCTCTGCACCCCATGACCCCAGCCTCCCAGCGTCCCTGCCTAGCAGTCTAGGGTCACCACCCTGGAGGCTCCAGCTCTTTCCAAACCAGGAGACAGACTCATCTCTGGGGCTGCCCACCGGTGGTGTTCAGGCTCCTGTTCACGGGAAGGGGCGAACAGGCCCCACCCCAGGGCTGGGAGGTGGAGCTACGGGGGGCTCCTGACAGGGCCAAGGACTGGGCCGGGGGCCCGGGGACTTCAGTGCAGGCCAGGGTCGGGGGTCAGGCTTACCTCCTTCAGAAGCTCGGCACACCGCCCTGCGTGATAAGGCCAGCGTGAGGCGCTGCAGAGCCAACCCACAGGGCCCAGCCCAGCCTCCACCCCAAGGACCCTGGGCTCACCAGGCCGGGCCGCCAGGTAGAGACCAGTGTCTGCCGTCAGCTCCCGAAACCTCCAGAACCCCAGCCGGTCCTCATCCTCCAAGCTCCGAGCTGTGGGGCACAGGGGGGCTGGGTGGGCAGTCCCTGGGCGGGCGGCAGCGGGGCAGAGCCCCCCAGGGCCAAACTTACTGAAGTACTTGAGGACGTGAAAGTTCCTGCCCCGCCACATCAGGGACACCCGCAGGATGGCATAGCCCTCGTAGTCGGTGTCCAGCACGTGGATCTCTCTGTGGCCTTCAGGAGCCGGCCATGGCGTTGGGGGAGACCTCTGAGGGGGATGGACCTCGAAGGCCAGGGTCTGCAGGGTCTAACTCCATCCTGCCCCCACCCAGTCCCAGCACTTGAGTGGTTGGGGACACTACAGAAGCTTTTGAAGGATGATCCAGTGTGTTGGTCAGAGAATGGGAAGGTCTGGGGCATGAAATGTGCAGGGAACAGCATGGGAAACAGTGCAGGGAACAGCATGGGGAATAGTACAGGGAAACAGCACAGAGCACAGTGCAGGGAACAGCATGGGGAATAGTACAGGGAAACAGCACAGAGCACAGTGCAGGGAACAGCATGGGGAATAGTACAGGGAAACAGCACAGAACACAGTGCAGGGAACAGCATGGGGAACAGCACAGGGAACAGTGCAGGGAACAGCAAGGGGAACAATAAGGCCTAGCTGTGTGCACAGCTGGGCTCCACTTGCCATGACAGGGCAACTGCACTTACCAGGAAAAGCAAATTTTCCCGTAGTGTCTATTTCTGAGCCCACAATCTTCTCTATTTCACAGCTTCCTGAGCTGAAAGGCAGCAAAGTGCCCATTGGGAAAATGCCAGTCTGTGTCCCACCTGCTAGGCTCCTTCCCGGAATGGGGCCTAGTCTTTAAGAAGCCCACAGGCAGCACTGTGGAGCATCCCAGGGCCTGCAGCAGGATGAGGTGGGGAATGTGCCGGGTGGGGGCTGCACCGGCCTTCCCCTGGGGGCTCTGTTCCCTCCAGCCAGCCACCTGCCCCATGCCCCTTTTCCTTCCTTATAAGTTCACAGGACTTCATTAAAACACTATGCTTACCTTTGGGAGAAAATTCAGATCCAGGAGGCTGGGAGTCGAGGGCCCAGGCAGGTGGGCAAAGGGAGGGCTGGCTCACCGGCAGGACAGCACTCAACCCAGACCCCATGCTGCAGTGCGTGCAGCGGCCCACGCCCAGTCCCCGGCCGTGCATGCCTCTTCCTCTCCAGCAGCCCCCAGGCCTCTTACCTGTTATATGCAACCTTCACGGTCAGGTTACTCCCGTTCAAAGTGAGGAACAAGCCCTCCACCCGCTTTGGGGCCATCAGCACCAGACTTTGATAGGAGGCCACACCGACTTCCCGCCAGAATCCTCCAATCTAGAGAGATGCGGAGCCCGGCCATGAGCTGGGCAGTGGGTCTGAGACCCCCAGGGGCATTCCACCAACCCCCGGGCAGGGGCCTGCTGGGCTCTGACAGGTCAGCAGATGGCCGTGAGGCTCGACGGTAAAGCAGCAGGACATCTGTGAGCCCAGCTGTCCCCAGGTGTGTGTCCTTCCAAGCCCAACTGTCCCCAGGTGTGTGTCCTTCCAAGCCCAACTGTCCCCAGGTGTGTGTCCTTCCAAGGGGTCCCTTCAAGCCATCAGACAGCAACACCGAGAGGGCGGCTCCTCCCCACCGGGCCATCTAGAGCTGCTGAACAGGCCCTGGGGCTTCCGGGGCATTTGGGGAGGAACCACAGGCCCTGCCTGACCTCGGGGGCAGGACCCAGGAGCAGGGGCCTGGAACAGAAAGCCTGCAGGGTGCGGCGGAGAGTGAGAAACGGCAGGGAACGGGGTGGCTCGGGCAGCGAAGCTCACCAGCCTGCCAACCACGCCAGGGGAGGGGCCTCCGGCCCTCAGCAACCTGCCCACAGCCGGGACTTCCACTGAGACTTTTAAAAACCCGATCATTTGGCCGGGTGCGGTGGCTCACGCCTGTAATCCCAGCACTTTGGGAGGCCGAGGCGGGCGGATCACAAGGTCAGGAGATCGAGACCATCCTGGCCAACACGGTGAAACCCCCTCTCTACTAAAACTACAGAAAAATTAGCCGGGCATGGTGGCAGAGGCGCCTGTAGTCCCAGCTACTCGGGAGGCTGAGGCAGAAGAATGGCGTGAACCCAGGAGATGGAGCTTGCAGTGAGCTGAGATTGCACCACTGCACTCCAGCCTGGGCGACAGAGCGAGACTCCATCTCAAAAAAAAAAAGAAAAAAAAAAACCCCGGTCATTTTCGGGAGGAAAGAATCTTCGTCTCCAGCATCTACCTTCTTTGGGCCTGCCAATGTGTGCCTGACCCAGCAGCCGACACAGACTCAGCAGAAAAGAAAATGCCACTAACAGGAAGTGTCTAGCCGGGCACCAGCTTCCCCACGAGCTCCCCACACCAGGAGAGGCCTCCTTCCCTGAGCCTGCGGGGCTGGGGGTGTAGGAGGGGCCCCACCAACGAAAAAGGAGAAGCCACCTTCTGCCGGTCCAGCTCCACCATGGCTGCTGCCACCTGCGCCCAGAGCACCACGAGGACACCCAGGATGGTGCACAGCAGCCTGGCCTCCATGGCGGGGTCTGGGCTCCGGGCTCCTCTGCTGCACAGCCTGGGCCGACTATATACAGACAGCAGAGGCTCGTGCGCTCACCCAGGAATGTCATCAGGACAGCTTAGCTGCTGGCTGCTCAGACTTGGGTTTCTGCACAAGCGTCATCCGGCCCTAGTGACACCCACGCCCACCGCAGGGGTTAGCCTGGCCTAGACAGCAGCCTGCCCGGCCACCCTCCTGGTGTGTGGACAGCAGTGGATGCTGCTGGGGCCGTCTGGGGGCCTGAGAGGAGGAGGAGCTCCACCCACACCACCTGGAGCTCGGTGACCCCCCCCGACCCCACAGGACACTTGTTTGGGCTCGTTCTGGCCTGCCCTGCGAGGGCCGTGGGCACTGACGGGCAGCGGACCAGAGCCCCCAGCACCTTCCTGTGCCACCCCACACCCGGCCCTTTGAAATGTGCGCCAGACACAGTGGGTAGTCAGAGCTCCGGAGGCCAGAGGCATAGTGCCAGTGACCAGAGTGACAGTGGGGAGGGCCTCTGCTGCGCCAGACATCACCCAGGGCCAGTGTGGAGCCCGGCCCTGGAGCCTGATCACCCAGGCTTGCAGCCAGTCTGGCCTCTTCCGGGCTGTGCAGCCTTGGATAAGTTACCCAACCCTTCTGTGCCTTGGTTTCTTGATTTTTTTTTTTTTTTTTTTTTTTTTGGAGACAGAGTCTTGCTCCATCGCCCAGGCTGGAGTGCAGTGGTGTGATCTCGGCTCACTGCAACCTCTGCCTCCTGGGTTCAAGCAATTTTCCTGCCTCAGCCTCCTGAGTAGCTGGGATTACAGGCGTGCACCACCACACCCAGCTGTCTTGTATTTTTAGTAGAGACAGGGTTTTGCCATGTTGGCCAGGCTGGTCTGGCACTTCTGACCTCAGGTGATCCGTCCACCTCAGCCTCCCAAAGTGCTGGGATTATAGGCGTGAGCCACCGCGCTGGGCCAGTTTCTTGATCTTTGAAACAAGGAGCACACAGGGTAGCTACCTATGTCTATGAGGTTGGCTGTGGAGCGCCCAGGCTGGCTGGCAATCCCCTGGCCACAACTGTGACCCATTTCCAGGGGTATAAACCAGGTGCCCACAATCACATCAGTGCGGGGGGTGGCGCAAAACCCAAATGGGCCTAACTCCCCAGCCTCCTGCAGCTTTCCCATCTCCTGCACCCGGAGCCTGTGTGCCCAGCAGAGCCCCAGCAGCTGGACCTTCTTCACAGGGTGCCCAGGTCCCCACAGCACTGCAGACCCATAGAGACTGGGCCAGGATGCTCCATTCTTCCTGTGGGTTCAGCCCCCACACAGGCCAAGAGTGGCTGCTGCCTCCTGCCCCTCCCCAGAGCCCCTCACCGCTGTCCCCTGCCTCTTCACCCAGGGCTCCTCACCCCTGCCTCCTGCCCCTCCCCAGGGCCCCTCACCCCTGTCCCCTGCCTCTTCACCCAGGGCTCCTCACCCCTGCCTCCTGCCCCTCCCCAGGGCCCCTCACCCCTGTCCCCTGCCTCTTCACCCAGGGCCCCTCACCCCTGCCTCCTGCCCCCTGTCTCTTATACACATCTAGATGTGTATAAGAGACAGGTTGTGGCCAGGATGGTCTCGATCTCCTGACCTCGTGATCCGCCCGCCTCGGCCTCCCAAAGTGCTGGGATTACAGGCGTGAGCCACCGCGCCTGGCTATTTATTTTTTTAATTTTTTTTGGAGACTGAATCTCTCTCTGTCGCCCAGGCTGGAGTGCAGTGGTTTGATCTCGGCTCACTGTAACCTCCGCCTCCTCGGTTCAAGGGATTCTCCTGCTTCTGCCTCCTGAGTAGCTGGGATTACAGGCGCCTGCCACCCTGCTAATTTTTGATTTTTTAGTAGAGACAGGGTTTCACCATGTTGCCCAGGCTGGTCTCGAACTCCTGACCTTAAGTGATCTGCCTGCCTCAGCCTCCCAAAGTGCTGAGACTACAGGCATGAGCCACCGCACCGAGCTTATTTCTTTACTTTCTTAATAAACTTGCTTTCACTTTATAGACTTGCCCCAACTTCTTTCTTGCACAAGGTCCAAGAACCCTCTCCTAGCGTCTGGATCAGGACCCCAAGAATGACAGAATGGGAATGCGCAGGGCATCCGCCAGGACTGTCCGGGAGCGTGTTTGCCTGTCTCCAGGTGGGCCCCGTCGGAAGCTGAGTCAAAATGAAAGGCAGCTGCTAGTTACTACCCACGTCCTGGCCACGGGGGCGATTGCTCCAGGCTTGCTATGGGCTTCCCGCTGGCTGCTGGAATGAGAGCTCTGTCCTGATAGGGTCTGCTCACTGCCCATTTGCATATTCCCATCTCTTACCATCTAGAAAACAATGTAACAGGAAGGGCACAGTGGCTCAGGCCTGTAATCCCAGCACTTTGGGAGACCAAGGTGGGCAGATCACCCGAGGTCAGAAGTTCGAGACCAGCCTGACCAACATGGAGAAATCCTGTCTCTACTAAAAAGATACAAAAAAAATTAACCAGGTGTGGTGGCTCATGCCTGTAATCCCAGCACTTTGGGATCAGGAGTTTGAGACCAGCCTGACCAACATGGTGAAACCCCATCTCTACTAAAAACACACAAAAGCATTAGCCGGGCATAGTAGTGGGCGCCTGTAATCCCAGCTACTCGGGAGGCTGAGGCACGAGAATCACTTGAAGGCGGGCAGCGAAGGTTGCAGTGAGCCAAGATAGTGTCACTGCACTCCAGTCTGGGTGACAGAGCGAGACTCTGTCTCTAAAAAAAAAAAAAAAAAAGAAACAGTGTAGCAGGCAAAGGGTTGATTTCCACACCGAAGCCT